ATAAGGATTCACACAACTTGTAGAGTAAATTTTTTCTTCTTGATTGTCAAATTATTTTTGGTGTTTCCAAACTGACTTCACTTAATTTATATGTATCAATGTCATTTTAAGAGTATCAGTTTATTTTATCTTAAAACCTAACGTACTTTATAGTGAACAGTAAGATTATTTGTTCATAATATTAGTACAAGTGGATGTCACTAATAGCTCTTTTAAACAGTCATACATGTACTGTACCTTGAAAACTTGTACTTCATAAATATTTCAAAACAATTAAATTAGCAGTCAGTTGAATCCTACTTTTAACTCGGAAAAACTTTTGCCATCAACAAAAAAATGTTTAATTAATTGAGAGTATCTTTAAGTTGAATCTGGTAATTAATATTTCATTGAACCTAGAAAATGAATTAACATTTAAATTAGACTTAATGCAGACCCGCATCTTCAAAAGCAGGGTGTAGTGCAGTAAAGAATAAATAATAATGTGTTACAGTGTGTATTTGTATAATGAGTGTAGCATTAACATATAAATGAAACAGTATTAAAATAACATTAAAAATATTTTTAAAAAGATTATTTCTTACTGTTAATTTAAAAGAAATAAATAAAACCACACATACATAAGAGCATAAAATACCAGTTTCATATCATGTTTTACATTGCTAATTAGGTCTTGTTCAAGAAAGCTTTATTGAAGAAACTGAAGGGTATCTTGAAGGATACAAAACCAGTATTTTATGCTTTTGTGTACATGTGGTTTTATTTATTTCTTTTAAATTAACAGTAATAAATAAAAAGTTTTTTAATATTTTTAAAATCATTTTTATATTGTTTTAAATTTATTAATCATTCCTTGAAAGATCCTGACAGTAGCATGGATGGTTGGAGGATGGGAGCTATACTAACAATTTATATTGGGCTTAGTATATTTAAGTAATACCTTAACATTGTGATATTTATGTCCAAACATCATTATGGGGCTTGAATGCCAACTTCATTTGGCTGCAGACAGCGAAAGGTGGTAAGGATGTGTGATGTTGTGAGCTAGAGCCCTTTCTTTATTTTATTTAAAGAATGTGAGGCTTGCAAAACTGCAGTTAAGCTGGATAGACGGTGTACCCCCAATGCAATTTGATTCTTACTTCTGCCAGTACCTCAAAAACCAGGGCACATTACATAACTACCCACCTTATGGCGTGCCCAGGTGATACATGTCTGTTTTGTAGCTGTATTGTTTCTTTTTTTTTCATGTTATATGTAATATTACAATTTTATATATACACATATATATATATATATTTACACTACTTATCCCAACTGACCTGAGGAGCCTCATTGGCATTGGATATAGCAGATTTAGTGTGGTTGACATAACCTGAGGAGCCTCATTGGCATTGGATATAGCAGATTTAGTGTGGTTGACATAATTTATTCTTTGCTTTCACTCACAGGTTCTTAGAATATATATACAGTCTCTATTTATGTTTCTTAGAGAAAACCTTCCAAGCCACTTCAAGGTAAAAGAGTACTGTCCTTTAGTGTTCAGGAATCTACGAGAAAGGTTTGGAATCAATGAAAGGGAATATATGGTATGTTGGGATTTTTTTCTGTATGCATATTTTAAAAGTTGATAATAGATATGGAACCTCTTTAATATACTTAGTATAGCTGGGCAATTAACTCGAATTGTTGATATAATTGATTACCTGTGAATGTTGATTAAACCGATTAGTGGTGTGTCACAATTGAATTGATTAATGTCATGAAAATAATCAACTAATCCGTATTAATGTCTCTAATTATTACTGTTTTTAATTATTTCAAGTAATTCAAATATTTCATTATGATTTTCTTACTTATTTTTGATTAATTCGGTGCTGTTCAGTTTAATTGATTGGTGTCATGATTCACAAAAATAACACAGGCCAGCGATGGCTTTATTGTCTTGAAATTTTTACATGTTCTACAGTAATTTATGTACGCCGAATCCGAAAATGATATCCATTTTTCTCCATCACGTACAGATTTTTCACAAAATGTCATATGTACTTTTACACAAGTGAATCATTTTCATTGAAATCGGGTCACATTTTATTATGCTTAAAATGTTGACAACCACTGGCTAAAGATTTTTGCAGACCAATTGTGATGTGAGAGTCTTATCGATAGTTCTAGAACCCACAAAAAACACATAATAATTAAAAAATGTTCATTGTGGTAAACAAAATAATAATTTGATCTTTTTTTTC